GGGGAGATTTTGAGAAGAAAGAGGCTAAAACAAAGACGTAGTAGCCGTGAGAAGAGGATGCTGACCCCAAGGAGCCTGATGAGATTTTACGATCATAGCCACAAAGAAAACACCAACGTATGACGCCCTGTGCATTCAACTCAAAACAACCACAATTAGGAAGGAACTCAGACTTCCTTCTGTCTTTAGAGAGCAAAGACCCAGGTAGTAGTACACGACACGAAAACCCAGAGAGAAAGAGAGAGAGCACACTATAATTAGATGGAAACGAGACGAAAGGGAAGGATAAAATCGACGTGGCTCGATGAAAATCACATGAAGGGATTGAGAAAAGAACTAAATACCAAGGAAATGAGATAACTGCAATGATTAATTCGTTTCAGGGAGAGAGAGAGAGAGAGAAAGGTCTCCATTGGGAGAAAAACATGATAAAAATGGCCTCATCAAGACAGCGTGAGAGGTAAGAAATGGGAGAGCAAATTTTACTGAGAAGGGGGGGGGGTGGGGGAGTCAACCGAATCTCCGATTTTCACATGTTCCTACTGAGTTGACATCCAGAGTAAACAAAGACATGAAGTGTTGACGACAGTACATATATGATGATGATGATGTGGAAGAGTTCAAAACACACTTGTGACCGGCCAGGTATATTGCATTAACAAATGGGATCACTGTTGGATAGAGAATGCCTTTTTTTCATCTGCCACAGATGGATTTGAAAGTTATCTACAACTATGCCACCTTTAAAGACTCGAATTACTTGGAGGCATACTTGCAGATAAAAGTTTGAAGCTGAAGAGGTGTGAGTAGTGGGGAAATCAATAGGCTAACTTCGTTCGAACACCAAGCTAGTTGTGAGTAATCTATTGAAATCTCGCATTTTGAGTGACGTAGTAAGTAGACGAAAATGTTCAGATGAGGAATGGGATCGTCGAGCTTTTCACCAAAATCTCATGGTTCCATTACACACAAAAACGACGAACAAAATCCCGCCCGTCTTTTTGTCCACCCAAATTCCTCAATCTTTTAGCGCCCTCTGCTTTATGCTCTGTCAAGTTGACTATCCATTCAAATATTCATGTTCGCCACCCTTTGTCCATTCATTTTGCGACTCGTTTCTGACCATGCACACCACACTAAGGCATTGTGTCGACAAAGGCCATTTCAGCTGGCATTCGAGTTAGAATTTGATGGAAGAAACAGCCAAAATGACTATTGTCACATCATGATTAAATGAAAGAACATTGAATCAGAAATTATGAATCGCCTATAAGCGGTCAAGGTTAACCTACCACGTCCTTCAAAGACTAAATGTACCCAAAATAAACCAAGATGTACTCTCTCACTCTCTCTCTCTCCGCGCACGTATGTGTTTATGTGTCCTTAAAAATTCATAAATATTTTTATCCGTGGAAATAAATCGATAGACATGTTAGGAATGTAGAAAAACGCCAGCACCCACACTTCAAATTGGACATTCCCTGACTTGAAGGAAAATTTACCCAAAAAGTTGTCCAAATGCTTTTAAGCCACAAGTGTTAAACGATTTTTAATGCGAGCCTTTTGTTTTAAACGCTCACACGCATATCCAATTTCATTCCACTCTCCCTTGTGATGCCTCAGCTAACTTGTCCGTATTGATAGGAAACGACTGGATCTAGAAGTCTCTAGCGAACGCGCCCCCCCCCTCTCTCTCTCTCTCTGGAATCTCCTTCATTCCCAAAAAATGTTACTTTGTCCACTTTCAAGTGTTGGTTTTCTAGTGTTGTGGATGGGGGGGGGGGGGGGC